ATGTCCGACCCCATTTAAATTGTTTAGATGGTGTAGTTTTGTTATGCTTCACCTCTTACCATGTTTAACAACATTTAATATTGTTGGGTACATAAATGGGATCGAACTAAATAATTGATGTGGTGTTCCGTCAATATGCAACTCGTTGCATATTGAGCTCCACTTAATTTGTAGGATTGTTTGTGCACTTTGCCATGCCATGCATATTTAAACCGGACATGCATCATACTCGATTGTGCATCATGCCATGATTATGTGATAGTTGTTTACCATGTTGTTTGCTTCTTTCCGGTGTGCTTCTTCGATTGGTTCCGATAACGTTATGTTTGTGAGGATCTGTTCGGCTACGTTCGTTTATCTTCCTCATGGACTCATTCTTCTTCCTTACGGGATTTCAGGCAAGATGACCATACCCTCGAAATCACTTCTATATTTGCTTGCTAGTTGCTCGCTCATTTGCTATGCCTATGCCGCGATACCTACCACTTGTTTATCATGTCTCCCATATTGTTGAACCAAGCCTCTAACCCACCTTGTCCTAGCAAACCGTTGTTTGGCTATGTTACCGCTTTGCTCAGCCCCTCTTATAGCGTTGTTAGTTGCAGGTGAAGATTGAAGTTTGTTCCTTGTTGGAACTTGGAGATGTTGTTCCTTGTTGGAACATGTTTACTTGTTGGGATATCACAATATATCTTATTTAATTAATGCATCTATATACTGGGTAAAGGGTGGAAGGCTCGGCCTTATGCCTGGTGTTTTGTTACACTCTTGCCGCCCTAGTTTCCGTCATATCGGTGTTATGTTCCTGGATTTTGCGTTCCTTACGCGGTTGGGTAATAATGGGAACCCCTTGACAGTTTGCCTTGAATAAAACTCCTCCAGCAATGCCCAACCTTGGTTTTACCATTTGCCACCTAGCCTTTTCTTTCCCTTGGGTTCTGCAGACTCAAGGGTCATCATTATTTTAACCCCCCCCCCCCGGGCCAGTGCTCCTCTGAGTGTTGGTCCAACCTGTCAGCTGCCGGTGGCCACCAGGGGCAACTCTGGGCTGGCCTACCCGTACCTTGGACAAACTGAGTGTGCCCTGAGAAAGAGATATGTGCAGCTCCTATGGGTTTGTCGGCACATTCGGGCGATGTTGCTGGTTTAGTTTTACCTTGTCAAAATGTCTTGTAACCGGGATTCCGACTCTGATCGGGTCTTCCCGCTAGAAGGAATATCCTTCATTGACCGTGAGAGCTTGTCATGGGCTAAGTTGGGACACCCCTGCAGGGATTTGAACTTTCGAAAGCCGTGCCCGCGGTTATGGGCAGATGGGAATTTGTTAACCTCCGGTTGTAGAAAACCTGAAGTTGACCTTAATTAAAATACATCAACCGCGTGTGTAACCGTGATGGTCTCTTTCCGGTGGAGTCCGAGAAGTGAATACGGTGTTGGAGTTATGCTTGACGTAGGTTGTTCTAGGATCACTTCTTGATCATACTTTTATCGACCGTGCTTTGCCTTCTCTTCTTGCTCTTATTTGCGTGTGTTAGCCACCATATATGCTAGTCGCTTGCTGCAGCTCCACCTCATACCTTTACCTTACCCATAAGCTTAAATAGTCTTGATCACGAGGGTGCGAGATTGCTGAGTCCCCGTGACTCACATATACTTCCAAAACCAGCTTGCAGGTGCCGATGAGTCCGTGCCGATGACGCAACCAAGCTCAGGAGGAGCTCGATGAAGATCTTGTCCTTTGTGTTGTTTCGGTCTAGTTGATCAGTAGTGGAGCCCAGTTGGGGTCGATCGGGGGCTTTGTCGCTTTTGGGGTTCTTCTTTTATTTTGGTTCCGTAGTCGGACCTTGATTGTATTTGGATGATGTAATGCTTTATTCATGTAATTGTGTGAAGTGGCGATTGTAAGCCAACTATGTATCTCTTTCCATTATGTATTACATGGGTTGTGTGAAGATTACCTCACTTGCGACATTGCTTTCAATGCGGTTATGCCTCTAAGTCGTGCTTCCACACGTGGGAGATATAGCCGCATCGAGGGCGTTACAATAAACCGGAGGGTTTTAGTCCATAGGACAACATACAATCATACCATAGGCTAGCTTCTAGGGTTTAGCCTCTCTGATCTCGTCATAGATCAACTCTTGTACTGCTCATATTATCAAGAATAAATCAAGCAGGACGTAGGGTTTTACCTCCATCAAGAGGGCCCGAACCTGGGTAAAACATTGTGTCCCCTGCCTCATGTTACCATCCGCCTTAGACGCACAGTTCGGGACCCCCTACCCGAGATCCGCCAGTTTTGACACCGACAAAGATCTTTATCGGTCAAACCGCATAACAACATATGTTATTCCCTTTGTCATCGGTATGTTACTTGCCCGAGATTCGATCGTCGGTATTATCATACCTAGTTCAATCTCGTTACCGGCAAGCCTCTTTACTCGTTCCGTAATGCATCATCCCGCAACTAACTCATTAGTCATATTGCTTGCAAGGCTTATAGTTATGTGCATTACCGAGAGGGCCCAGAGATACCTCTTCGATACTCAGAGTGACAAATCCTAATCTCGATCTATGCCAACTCAACAAACACCTTCAGAGATACCTATAGAGCATCTTTATAATCACTCAGTTACGTTGTGACGTTTGATAGCACACAAGGTGTTCCTCCGGTATTCGGGTGTTGCATAATCTCATAGTCAGAGAAATATGTATAAGTCATGAAGAAAGCAATAGCAATAAAACTAAACGATCATTATGCTAAGCTAATGGATGGGTCTTGTCCATCACATCATTCTCTAATGATGTGATCCCGTTTATCAAATGACAACACATGTCTATGGTTAGGAAACTTAACCATCTTTAATTAACGAGCTAGTCAAGTAGAGGCATACTAGGGACACTTTATTTTGTCTATGTATTCACACATGTACTAAGTTTCCGGTTAATACAATTCTAGCATGAATAATAAACATTTATCATGATATAAGGAAATATAAATAACAACTTTATTATTGCCTCTAGGGCATATTTCCTTCAGCACTCTCGATCCTGGGTGAGAGGGGATAAAGGTCCCCTCTCCGGCAGCTATGATTTGATGGTGGTGATGTGAGTTGGCGGTCCTGGCGAGATCCGGCTTGGTCCTGTGGCTCTGTTTCTCATATTTCCGGTCGTGTCTTTGGTGGTGACTTCGTCCTATTGATGCGCCCATGTATGCTTCTTATTGTGGGCGTGGTGATTCTTCTTGGGCTTTCCTTGTGGTGAGGTGGCCATGCTTGGTGTTGCACGTCATTGGTTGGGCCTCTTGTATCCTTCCGTACTCTCTCTGAGCTTCTCCACCTAACCGACGGTGCGATGCCCTCTGATCCAGGGTGAGAAGATAGTAATCTTCTTTGGTGGTGGAGGCGGATGGCATTTTGACACTGTCAATGGATGCGAACAATGGCTGGTACGTCCTCTAGCGGCTCCTTCACCTTTTCCTGCTATGGAGCGTTGATGGTCAAGACTTCAAAGATGTAGCTTTATGCTAGTTTTCTAGTTTGTTGCTCTCCTTCTGCTCCTTGTATCCGTTTGGGGTTGCATCCCATTCTTCTCTTTCTTTCTTCTATGTTGTTTGTTTGATATTGTTGGTTGTATATATTAATTCAAAGTCGGGTTAGGTTTAAGAATTTTTTGGG